CCCAAAATTACCTTTCAATCGAAGAAAGCCTGGAACTAAAGGTTGACCAAGGTAGAAAGCCATTTTAAAGGTATTAATAAACCATAAAGGAACAAGGATGGATAAAATTGGGTGAGATTGAGAAGGATTGCAAACGACCAACTTGAAACATTGAGGGGTGAAGTTTTTGGGACGCGCAAGCCGTCTCTAACATCAGCTACCTACTGTACTCAAAGCGGAACACTTTGCGCGGTCTAACATGTTTCATACGGTATTTCATTATCGCTATTTTTCCTGTTTTCTTGTATTCTAACAGGAAAAGAAGAAGTCGGAGAAAATCAAATGTTTAATCTGCATGGTGGGTACCCAGTTTTGTTGTTCCTTCATGCTAGAGCACGGTATAATTTCTGCTAAGTGTTTTGTAATTGCAGAACGCCACAACCTACCTGTTTGATGTCATTGTTTTTTTTTCCGTTTTACTGGGCCACTTTTCGTTTATGTACCTTCTTGTTTAATGATCCTTCAATGAAAACGCAGTCTAGTGTTTCTACCGCGCTTTACAGTGAATTTGTGGTTAGCTTGATTTCGCAGAAGTGTGGCAGCTCTCGTAAGCTTGTAATTCTTTTGCTTGTTAGCAGCTGTTATTGTTTTGGGGCTAAGGACATCGTTTCTGTTTGTTCTATTGTCCTCTCAAAGTTATCATTCCATGCATGTGAGACCTTACGAGAGCTGGTACCTTACCTACCCGACCTTAATTTCGCTGTTTTCTCGCTACAGGAACCATACACTAATCCTTTGGCTTCGATTTCCTGCTGGCATGTTCACTGCGAGGAGTGCTGGCTCAGAACGCTGGTAAGTTACCATAGAAACGTTTACACCCCCCTGTACTCATCTTTCGCGCGCCTACTCCTTGAATATGCCTCCTCCATGCACTAGTCTCTCCTCCATGCGATTCCGTCACGAATTCAAGAGATTAATTCTCCTTACTAATTATCATAAATTTCTTTTAAAGAGAGTTTCGAGAATTTGGCAGAACATCAGTATCACATCCCCAAGCTGACTGTTTCCTCTTCTCTCTTCACTTGCCAGCTTAACTATGCTTTGATTTTGAAAACGAGAAGTAATCAATTGATCAGACTGATTTTCTCCTTTTCCTTTCAAGGGAGCGAAAAAGCTGTGTCCGCAGTGCAATATGATTACCTCGCCGTCTGACCTTAGGAGAATTTACTTGTGATAATGGTGATGATTATACAGTGCCTCGTAATCTGCGGAATGTAGTCAAGAGACAAAGCATGCCACACCGACCTGGTCTTAGGTTTTGGCTCAGTCCTCCTCAGTTAGTAATTGTAGGGGTTGTCTTGGAAGTGTTTAACTTTGCGACGAGAAGAGACATTGGAAATCTTGCTCCTCGCGATTGGAGTGGTGTATTTTGAAAGCGTGCTAGAAAGAAGCACTGAAAAAGTAGCTTCAAAAACCAACGAAGAACCAACGAATTGATGTGTTGGACGTTTTAGTTAGCTTAGTTTTGTACGACTATCACTTTACCAGACGCGATTGCGTGATTGTGTGACTCGGTTGCGTGACTGTGTGACTCGCACGAAACGTGTTTATCGCTTGACATTCTGGGACTTACTGTAGTTTCACGCTACTCAAAGGGCACACTTCTATTTTTGGCGGAAGATTCCGTGGAGCTGCTTATCAAACATTAAGAAATAATTTAAATTTACCGGTAATTTTTCAGATACCGTAGACTACCTTGAAAGCCCTCGTGTTCTTCTTCAATAAATTCCAGCTGCTAAGTAAAAAATAAATTAAATCTGCATCAAAGCCTATAAAAAATAAGACTTGCTTAAGCTAGCAACGTGTTAGCTTCCTAAAGAGAAACGCTTAACTTGTTAGTTGTCCGACGTGGATTAATTGCAAACGTGGCAAAAATTGCACGCACCCAAGGTGTTGGAAACTTATACGTGAGTTCGAAATGTGCCTCGTTCCAGTCCTCTACAGGAAAAAAGACTCTAGATGAATAATACTTACCCTTTCCCCGCTAACTTGTCTACGCAGAAGTCTCTTTTTGTGTTTTCAAAAAATTCCTCCCCACTAGGGACGAGTTTTGGTCAGAATTATTCCATACTGATGATGTAGCTGTGCNGGTCAGAATTATTCCATACTGATGACGTAGCTGTGCAGTGATCCGTGTAGCCTCTCTTATTGGTTGTTGCTTGTTTTTGGAATTCTCGCGCGCAAAATCGACCAATCAAAGACGCTATAAGGAGCTCCTTATCAGCCTTCGTAGAGTTGGCTAAGGGAGACGTCCTTATTGATTGCGCCACCCTCCCATCCCCCCTTGCTTACAAACTGTGATAAGGCGAAAGAGTGTGAATAAGAACATACCTATGACAAATTATTGTCTCGCTTCACCAGATTTCTTCCCGGCTGTAAAGTTATCTTTAATATTGAAATAATTTAATTAAACTTATTTAAAAGAGTTCATTGTATACCATTGATAATATTTAAACAACTTAAAAAAAGGAGAACTTATATGTAAAAATTGCAGAATTATGTATAATTTTTTTTTGAGCCAATAACATTTTTATAATTTGCGTACAGTAACTCTGGCGAGGCAATGATTTGGCGATTTTAGCGCTTTTTTCCAGAGTGTAGGAGACGTTTGCAATACTGAGTTGTGTTAGATAATAATAATTAAAAATGTATCATACCGTACTGTAGTTCCGGTTTTCTTTTTCACTAATTAAAATGTAGTATCGTTGGTGTCCATGTATACCGTGAAACTCGTATGTGTAATCAAATGGTGGCGAGTGAAATTAGGAAATAATTCCACGCGCGTTTTGTCAAAATTCTCATAATTTCCCGAGCCTTTCAATCATGGATCGTTATAACCACTCTATATCGGTTAATGCCAAAATCACGGAATCAAAAACTTCCCAATCATTAGTGAACATGTTGCTGTCAATTTTGTGGCACAATAGGTTACCATAGCAACAGTATGACCTGCTAAAAACACCGTTAATTTTAGCTTTATGCGCTTTTACCTCAAAAACCAGCTCGGAAATGGCTGCGAGCTGCTGGGATCAGTGGTTGACAGCCAGATTACTTGGCGCATCCGGGTTGGCGCAGAACGTTTTCTTTTAATGAAAGAGAGAATCCTCCTAGCGGAAAATTTACGAAGTGCTCGCTGCTCGCCATCTGTATTTTCTAAAGTACTCGCTGCTCGCAAGACAAATTTGATCACTGTCCTTGCTCGCAAAAATAAACGCACTGCCCGCATGTTCGCAAATGCTCGCAAATACCATTCGGTACCCCTTCTTGGAAACGCTTAGCTTCTGTTGGATGAGCCCCAAGCAAAACGTTAGAAATTGGGAACGAGTCAATGTTCAGTAGATCCCGCGGGTCGCGGGCAGTTCACCTTCCATCATTCATTCCATCGCTTCCCAGTAACGCTGGCATATCATGAAGTCACGACGTTTAGCTTCGTTGTCCCTTTTCGTGACGTTTTGCTGGAGAAATACCCGCTAGGACGCTTTATCTTTCATCATCATGAAAGTTGTTCTGTCAAACTCTGCAAAGCCGGTAAATATCATTCATATTGTGTGATGTAAACATCAGCTTTGGAGTCACTGATGAAAGCATAGCAGGTGAGATTTTTTGTTATTCGTTCGCATAATAGAAGCTATATAGGCCGGCTTAATTCGATTGGTCTCGACGATGAACGTTTGTAAAGCACTGGTCTTTATTTTACTCTGCGTGTAGAATCTAGGAACATTTTTTTGAGAATACTTTGTCAAGCTTACTCGCTGCGACCTCATACATGATCGATGCATGCCGAATTCTTCGTTTGATCCGTCAAAGGAAAACATACGTGCTATACGTGCTTCCATATGTTGACGTTTTCCGTTGTTTTCCTTTTGAAAACGAAGAAGGTGGGTTAATCACTTCGTTTCGTGTACATGTAGTTCCCTTTTACGAGAATAGAGCTCTTAAAACATGTGTAATTGGATTATTTGAATGCGTCGAACGTTAAGCTTATAATCTTAGTACGAAAAGAATGTGAAAACAGAAGTTTTCGTTTGAATCGGTACGGTAGCTGCCGTCTTTTACATTTTATACACCTCGCTTTCTGTCGACACAAAGGGCATACATACTAAACTTCATATATTTTTCTATTGCAAGATGGGGTTTTTGTAATATCTGTGATAATCGAAATCAAGTTAGGGGCCTTCACCTAGATCTTAAATTAGGAATATTTCATTCTTTTTGTCCTCTCCTATACATGGGTTGCAAGGGGATATCATATAATGGGGATAGACCTATAAATTATTAAGGAGAGGTCAAACAAGACTGGAATGGAGGTCAGGGGGGAGGGTTCATTCTTCAGAAGCAGTGGTATGGGGAAAAGTTCTAGTTTATATTTCCCTTTCCTAAGTCTCCTCAAACAGGCCCTTTGTAACTGCAAATGCAATGATATACCATACCATTTACTCGAAACTCCGAATAGCCTGCATAGCAGACGTTTCCTTTCTATTTTCCAGGGGGGTGGGGAGATCAAGTGAGCAAGCAAGCAAGTAAGCAAGCGAGGGAACGAGCGTGCCTTGGGTGAGCAACCCTTCACATGCTTTTCGAAATGCCTGCTATACAGGCTAAACTCTAAAGTAATTTGGAGTACTGGACCAAATCAACCCATGTACTTCCTTCTAGGCATTAGCCCTAGAAAGGAAATGGTAGACCATAAGGCCATGAACAATTGTTTGACCATGGCAGGATTTGAACCCATGACCTGTGGATTAGATCCCCAACTGACCTACAAGGCCAGGTAGATGTAGGTGACTGAATCTGAAGGCAAAATTCATCTGATCCAGAGGTCATGGGCTTAAATCCAAGCAAGATCAAAGCAGTTAAGTAAGGCACAATGGAGGTTTGCCAATGAAGTTTTGGCCGTAAAATTACAGTGTTGTAACAGGCAACTTACCTCGTAACAATATCAGCAGCCGTGCCTCGCCTACAATTTTGGGCTCTTTGTGCCAATGACGTCAAAGGCCGACAAGTACTTTATTTATCATCAAGCCCTTTCAATAGACAGAAACTCAGTGAGAAACTGAAATGCTTAATATATGCTAATGACATAATATAAAGTTAGTCTCTTTACTAATTACTTTGAACTTATTTTTTTCCTACAGTTTTAAACAGGTTAGATTAACAGCAACTTGATTTAACCACAATGTGTGTGGGAAAGTATTGAAGCCTTAAATTAAATGGAGTTGTGAATGAATGGATCTTTAAGGCCTGTCTTTGTGGATACTGCATAAGAAAAATGGTGGACTACCACATACCTAGAAATTACACACCATTCATATCAAAGGCGGCACATTTAAGGGATTCAGCTTCATATGTCAGTGGTGATGAATCAGTCCTTCCAGCAAGCACATTATCAGTGTGTAGTGATTTTGATTCTGCATCTGACATGACGTCTTTACTAATGACAGCAAGATCAACAAGCCCAACAAGTTTGTTAGGAGAAAGTGGTTTTCATCTGTCAGTTGGCAGTAAAGATCCTGTGGAAACTGTCAACTTTGAGACATGGATGAAACATGCTGATACAGATCTGGTGAGATATGACACAACCCCCTTAAAGTTGGGCAAAAGAGACACTCCAACAACCTTTGCCTTGGAGCAAGATGGTGGTAGTTTTATACCAATAAATTCCAAGGTTGTCATTTCTCCACGATCCAGAACTCCCAGTCCAGGTATGAGTAAGATGCTACTTAGCTTATCAGACCATCCTGTGGAGAGACCATGCTCTCCAAATGCTTCATCGCTGTACAAGAACACCAAAACACATTGCAACCCTTCAGAGCTGGGACAGCAGACTTACGATGAATGTATGGTGAGTCAAGAATCTCTAGGAATATTTGTATTAACATTTTGTCTATGCTCTTAACAAGGAAGACTACCTTTGATTTATATCAAAGGCAGTAAATTAAAGATTAATAATAGTCTAAACTTTTATGTAGAGCTTAAATACATCACTGTCCTAAGTGCTTAAAGATTGGCTAGTTACTCTTGACAGCGTTTTGGTACTGTAAGCATCAAAGGTGTTCTGGGGTGGATACACAATTTTGGAGAAGGGGGTTCAAGAAGGGGGTTTTAGGGATATAGGGGGTCTGGGGGCATCCTCCTTCAGAAAATTTTTAAAATTGAGGTCCTTTAAAATGGGATATCCAGAATTCTGAGGCAAAGTCAGCGTGTTATAATGTCTCATTTTCCTAATTTTGGGGTTTGACTGAACCCTGAACTCCCTCTAGATCCACTCCGGGGTGTTTGAAGTTGTATAACTGTTCAAAAAGTAAAGCAGATAATTGGGGCAAAATGTTGTGGTTGGGCATGTTCACATGTATTCAAAGGTAGGTGTGGTGTGGTGAAACCATTAATGGACCGATGGCCATTGACGTGGGAGCCAATACATGCTGAGTCAGAGCACACCCCTGAGTTTAATAATTCAAATGTTGTAAAGTGCATTATGGCATACATGTATGCATAATTTTATCCTGGAGAGCTATTATGTGAAAGGGATGGGTATGCCTGTCTGGACGATTGAATTAAACTCGTAAAGAGACTCATCTTCACTTCAAGTCCCCCACCTCCCCACCCCACCCCCCATGTATCTGTCACAGCTGTTGGTATGTTTTTGTGCTGTATAAGGGGTAGCAATTAATACCTAGAAGTACAAATTATTGGTCTTGTCGTCATGTTTCATTTGTCTCCAAGTATACAGTTGTTCCAGTCTTCGTCACATATTTTCAAACAGGAGTTTTAGAATCTCTGTCAGTCTTGGATTTTACCATTTTGATTGATTGCCCCTTGTGTAGTTTTAAATTATTACATAAATTTTTCCTTTTCATTGACAGATGTTCACCACATGGGCTAACACATACCTTCAACACAGCTTAGACCAGTTTTTAATCACAGACTTGGCGAGAGACTTAGGAGATGGCATTACCCTGTTGAGTCTGGTAGAGATGTTAGGTGGGTTTATACCGCAGTGTTGCTAGAATGTCTCAAAGTAGCTGGTGTAATTGCTAGTACCCTGTGAGCAGTTTGCTTCTTCTTTGCTGAAACTAACTGCTAGTAGGGTAAATTTCTAGAGTAGGCAGCTTCCATCAAATTGTTTTAAAGAATCAGAAAAATATCCCTGACCAGCAGAGTAGCCAGCCAAATATGTTGCTCTTTGTCTTTCTTCTACTACTGCAACCCCAGCCAGGACTTAAGTTGCACATATTTTAATTCAGAATCCATTGCACTAGCTATTGGCTAAGTGTGCTGAGCCTCCTGCTTTATGCAATTACTTGGCACTTTTGTACATGTTCCTTCACATAACTATTTATTAAATGAATAAGTTAACAGATAGTTTCTTTGACCATGCATATTTGCCACTCTCCTAATGAGGCTGTTCAAAACCAATGTTAAGAATGTAGCCCGTAATGGAACAAGTTATTGTAAGTGAACATAAAATGGATGCATATGAGCTAAGTGCCGCGCTTATCTCCAGTTTCATACAGTAGCATGAAGCGACCAGGAGTATTTGTAATCCACCTGCTTGGGATGGTAGTCCATCCCAGGGTTTTCCCATTAGCATTAAATTTGCCGGTGCCCTTTGTATACACCTGGGTAGAGAGATGCACCCTGAGAGTAAAGTTTCTTGCCCAAGAACAAAACACAATGTCCCTGGCCAGAGCTCAAACCCAGACTGCTTGATCTAGAGGCGAGTTCATTAACCATAAGCTACCACACCTCCACTGTAAGTGATTTACCATCATATTAATTCCCAATTGGCAACAGGAGTTAGACCAGTTCCCAGTCCATATTGTTTTAGCAATCAACAAAATAATAAGGATTGTTTTACATTCAATTTTATTCATTTTTGTAATCATGTTTTTCTTGATAATCTGCTCCACAGCTGGGGAGTACCCACCTCAAATCCACATAAAGCCGGCACTAGATGTCCAGAAGATGGAAAATATCCAGACCTGTCTGGAGTTTTTGGAGCATTATGGTGTGTCAATCAATGGTGTTACTGCTGATGGTAAGAAACAGAGGAACCATTCTTTTATACCCTCAATGATCTTTGTTTTCCTAATTTTCTGTTACTGTGTGGGTTACTGGGGTAAAGACATGGAGCCCTGTGAAATTAATTGTGAATTAACTTTGATTTCACTTGCATTTCCAGAAACTTCAAATTCTGAGAACTCAATAACAATTTAAGATGATTTCCAACATTCAGGGAATAATGGCCCAAAAATTGAGTTACCTTGAAAAAACCTCATGGCATGGTAATATTTTGAATACAGTTTAGAAGAACTTATCAAGACTTTTAAGCTCTCAAGCTGACTCCATGAGGGAAAATTGAACTTAAAGTTATCCATATTTCAATTAAAACAGGCGTTTCATGTCAGTAAGAAACACAATAACAAACGCTTTAAGCATTTTTACGAGGTTTGACATTAACTTTCTTGAGAATGCTTGAGAATTTAATCACAGGGTCCCTTAGAGAAATGAACTAAAAAGAGTTGTTTTAATATTCCCAAAGTTACCATGCTATGAGTAGATTTTTAGTAAATAATTTTTGCACTTATTGCTCAAACTTTGAGTGGAATCCATCTTAATAGGCCAAAATGTATGTTGTTGTAGATTTTTTGAGCAAGAAATACACTAAAAATAATAGCCTTGTTACAGTTAATAAGTATACTAATAATAATCAATGCTATTTTTGTACTATTGTTGTTCTTTAGCCACATTTATGCTATGTAAAATGTCATTGTTTAATTCCCAGATGTAGTGAAAGGAAATCTCAAGGTGGTGCTTGCCTTATGCCATAGCCTCCAGAGACACTTTGGTTCAAGTGCAGGTACCAATAATTCTGTTATGAAGATAACTCAAAGACAATACAGTAGCACAGAACCTTGTATGGTATAATAATTATTGTATCAGCAAGCCCTGTCACAATGCGCTAGCAGTTGGCAATTCTGTTGTCTGCAGCAAATTACTTGCTGCCTGCTTCACAGTGCATTTAACTAATCCTGGCCAATAAAAGATCTTTCTCTGAGCTTCATTGCCCAATACATCTGTTATCCTGCCTGCTACTACAAAGCATTTTGACAGGGCTTACCAGCTTGCTGTTTCTTCTTGAAGTTCTCTGCTGCACAAAGGCTCCATTACCAGCCACTTTCTAGGGGAAGTGACAACCTTGTTTCTAGGCTGAGACCCTGAAAGTGAGGTTGGGGAAATGAGTGTTGCTTTCATCCACTGAAGAAACAAAGACCAAGCTTGAGTGAGCAGCCAAAATGGTACCTCTGCTGCAACTCCCAGACTACCTTTATTTTTAATCATTTGGTTATGATTTGGGAAAAATCTGAGACCATGGCAGTGTGATCTTTGTCTTATGACCAAGAAAGTCAACAATGTCATTATCTTATTTTAGTGCATAATCGTCAAGTTGAACAACTGGAGCACAAAGATGACTTGTTGACTTTTAACTGGGTATCAAAGCTTACTGGAAAACAAATTGTTGATTTTCAGAGGTAAGTATTTTTGCTTTATTCCATGTGTAGTTGGGGATAAAAGTAGGGGTGAGGGGTGTGGCTAGGTTTTCTTGCTTCCTATAGTCTTCTCGCCTGCTTCCAGGTTTAATAATTTAGTCATTATTATTTTATTAAGTGGAAATTTTACATTTTTTGCACACTTAACCAGCCTTCTCAGTAATCCCTGTCCTAAATTATGCCCTTTTCCATTCAAAAAGCTTTCCCAATCTTCATTCCTTATCTCTAGAGGGACAACAATACCAGCCTGTGAACAGGCTCTCCAGTCAAGGATGTGGGGAAGAGAAAGTGGGAAGAAAGAGGACAGAAGAGAGAGGAGGAAGAGAGAGAGGAGGGGGGGGGATGCCCCAACTCCAACACCCCCCCCCCCCTCAGTCCCCTCTTGGCCACTTCACTCTCAGCCATTTCGTTATTGGCCCTTCCAACAGATACTTCTAGCCAGTGCCTGCTCACAGGCTAAAACAACCCTTTTACATGTTTTCTATAAAAGTGATCACATCTAACTTCTTAATACCATGTCACTGTTTGCCAAGTAGGCAGGTATCAAGAATCAAGAAAATTATCAGCTATGGGATCATATATCTTTCTGATGCATGTGTACAACCAAATTCTAAGAACTATAATAAAAGAGTTGTGTTAGTTACACTCAGTAAGGAGAATTCATATTTTGAGCCTAGAGGGAATTAAAAGAGATCAAAGTTTCAGTGTGTGGACCTTTGGATAACGATATCCGTACTACTGAAACTGGTTGCAGTTTTTTTTATCATCAGAGAGATAAAGAATGGCGTTTACTGCAAATGGCAACTATGACAGTTGACAGACAGGCAGCTGGCAGTTGACAAACAGTTGACCAACAGATGGCCAACAATTTTTTTCGGGAGCTGTTCATCACAACTACCCCTTATTTAGCTCAATGTACACTAAAGGGGGAATATTCATATTTGCAATGAATAGGAGACTTTTCTGTATCAATCAATCAATCGATCAATCGATCAATCGATCAATCGATCAATCGATCAATCGATCAATCGATCAATTGATCAATCAATCAATCAACCTTGATTTGCGCTCACTCTTGCTTAAAAAGTTGCAATGTTCAATGANATCAATCGATCAATCGATCAATCGATCAATCGATCAATCGATCAATCGATCAATCGATCAATTGATCAATCAATCAATCAACCTTGATTTGCGCTCACTCTTGCTTAAAAAGTTGCAATGTTCAATGAAAATATTAAAAGTAAAAGTTAGAGTACTAGCTGCCTGGAGTAACGATAGGGGCTAGTGGAGCCAGGCAGCCAGCCACTATTTATTTGTGTTGGATCGATTTAAGGATTAGTGGAAAATAAAACAGCATTAGAGACAATTTTTGCCGTTTGCCATTTGTCGTAAACGTCATTCTTAAACTCTCTAATATTGTCTTTAGGCAACTAAGTGGTCAGCTATGACAGTGGAAATTTAGTGGTTGTTTGATTATTTCTCTGGCTGAAGTATCATTAGTTGTTCATATGATATTTTCTTAAGTTAGACGAAGTGTTCTTTCCTCTTATTTCTGTTTTATGTTGTAGCTTTCAAGATGGTACAGTGTTATGTCTGCTCTTGAACAAGATCATTGAGGGTGTTATTCCTGACTTGGTAATCAAAAGTTATGTGTGAGCTACTATGACAAATAATATTTTGTGGGTGGGTTCCTCAAAACTTGAATTATTGCGTCAGCGATCGTGCAATAAGAACCCATACAGTGTGCACCCCTGTCCCAAATTCATCTAATCTGGAGTTGATGATTTTCTAACCCCCTCCCCTTTATTTAATGTTGGGCAGTTGCGACGATTTCTCGTAAAGTTATGTAAATCCCAACATTGGTTGGGACAGAGATAGGTATATATTAATGTGCAGATTTGCGGTTTTCTGTTAGAATTCCCAAGATGATAATCTGCCTTAATAGAAACTACAATCGTCTCGGTTTCGCATCTTTTAAAATTTAGCCTAAACTTTTCAAGTTCGCCGTTTGTAATCCGTTTCAATCTTCTCCATCCTTAACCAACGTTGTCCCGTGATGGGTTATTATAATCTCTTGGATGTTTTTCTATCGTAGCAAACTATTATTTTTAGGTTTCCTTTAATTTAAAGGTAATTTTGTCCATGGCCAAAATAATTAAAAATGCCGTGACTGAACCCCTTTAACACTTCTGTTTCTGATTGTAGCCTCAAAGCTTGCATATAAGGTGGCTACATCTTGAAAAAAATAACCATTTTTCAAGTTCATACTCATTGCAATCGGTCTCATTCTTTTCCAGTCAAAACCATCCTTGTGTCTTTTTGTCTTATCAAGAGAACATCTTTGGCGTTCTCTTTTACCCCACTTGAAGATTATTCCACTTTTATCTCGACTGAAAGGTAATTTGGTTTATACATCAATTGTTTTGCAGGTCTTAGAATTTGGCTCAGCAGCTGAAAAGATCAGCCTTGCCTTGAAAGTGTCATCTGAGCAGTTAAATATTGGAACAGGTTTACGGGTAGACGCCATCATGAACCAAAAGTGTGAAGAAAAATTCATGGAATACCTGGAAGCATTGCACCAAGTTTATTCCAGCAAATCTAAGAAAGTGTACGATTCATTCGAGCAGAGAAAAGTGAGAAGGGAACTTAAGAGACAGCAGCTTAAAGAACGTAGGCTTAAATCCGAGCGAATGGGCTCCGAGTTGACTTACCTTGGGGAACTGAGCCAAAATAAATCCCGTATTGCCCGGGAGAAGCTGCAGGTTTCTCTTGCAAATGCCTCCAGGCGCGTACCAAGCAAAGGAATTTTAGAGAACACAGGTCGGCAAATTGGTGAATCGGAACACATCGCTCTGACAAATGACTCAACGAAAATGCCGAGCGATGGAACCATAACTGGCACTAAAAGACAACTGGATGAATTAAAAAAAGAACTAGAACTGCTGAAGCTTGAATGTAGCGAGTCTCGCGATGAAAATGACTGTAAGAGTTTTGCAACGCCAGATAGTTATAAGCACGATTCAAAGCTGCTAAGTGCACTGGACAAGCCAACAAATCCCAGGCATGAGCTCAGAGAGTTGTGTCGTGGCAGCACAAATGGAAATAGGAACGAGAAAAGCAAGACGACCATTCACAATGGTGACGTGTCCGTAGCTTTAAGAGAAAAGCCGTTTGAAACTGCTTCTGACGATAATCAGCCTCGTTTTGGTGGATGTTACCTTGGCAACATCCCCAGCAGCTTTGACGGTTCAAGGAGGCGCGGGCTGGATCGATCACGTGACGAGCTGAGTTTTACGTTCAAAGATACGGATGTGCTACCTCGAACCTCTGTTCATGAGGGAACCAGGACGTTTCTACCACACGACTCCTCTGAAGCATCCGTGTTTAATTCAAAAGCAGATATAGCCAGTGGTAGTGACTTACACCTTAAACCTGGCACAACTGAGACTAAAGGTATTAGTAACTTGTTCGAAGTCGACTTCGATGATGTAGATGCAGATGTTAAAAAGAATCATGATCGCGAAAATTCAGCATTGAGAAGAATGCTCAGAGCTGGAGAACTGTCAAGACTGGAAAGTGGCAAGTTAAGACGTGATTTATATAGTACGCATTCAACAAGCCATGGGAAAACAAGAGTATGTGGTGAAGCGAAGACGACGCTAGCTACTTCCTCCGCTACTGAAAACAAAAGAGAACGGTTGTATGGGTCGTTAGGTGCGTTACCTTCGAGAAAGCCGATGTACAAGGAAGAAAAAGTATCTATACGCGATAAAACTTCCACAGAAGCACCCACTAAAGACTCGTCTAAAGAACCAAGGCAGCTGCAAAGGAGCCCTTCGAAAGAAAAGCGTTACAGGGAACAAGTATTGGCCAAGAAATCAACTAGAAGTGTTGAACCGTCTCACTCATCAAAAACTCATTTACATGCCCTAACGGCCTTAATAAGGATGAGCGCTAAAAATGCTGGTGGCATGTTTGGCGAGGAAGCGCAATGAGTAAGCTACAGATATTGTAAAATTCTCCCAGCAGATCGCCTTACATAGTTCTGATAATTTGGTGTTGCATCGTGACAAATAACGGTAAACTTTAACTAATAATTTTCTTCTTTATCTTCACTTGTCCACTTGTAAGTAGAATCCCTTTCAACAGTGAAATTGGTCTGTGCTTTGGCTCTATGCTTGCTAAGCTCTATAATTGATTAAAAAGTCTCGTACCACTCGTTTTAACCAATCAGGGCAAACGCCGTTTTTTTCAACCAATCAGGATTAAAACCAAAACCATGTTGTATAATTCCTTCAACTGATTAAAATGGTAGCACTAGACAAGTATCAATGTGACTTTTTTGAATAGTATCTCATTGATTAAAGGAGCTCAGTCACGGCATTTTCGTCCCCCAACAAAATTACCTTTAAATCGAAGGAAATCTGAAAATGATAGTGTACTGAGATAGAAAAACACCAAAGAGACAATATAAAACCATAAAGGAACAAGGATGGTTAAGGATGGAGAAGACTGACATGGATGGCAAACGACGAACTTGCAAAAATTTAGGCCAATCTTTTAAGACGCGCAAACCGTGACGTAGCTCCTTTAATGTTTTACGCCAGTTGTCATTTACGATGATCTTAAGTTCTATCCATTCCTCTTTCGGGCGTTTTCACTCGTTATTACAACTTACAACGGCTATATTGCCCGAGGAGTTATAACTGGTTTGCAGGTCGATTGTAGCTTCCATTGTTCCGCCGGCTCGGGTGGTGCCAAACAAAAACGNGTGGACGATTTTTTTTGCCATTTGTTGACTATATTGTTCCAGTAGAGTCGACCACAGCGACGCATACATTTTACAATATATTATAGTTAATCAACACAACAAAACAGTTTGTGGTGTTGGAAGAACACTCGAAAAGCTTCAGCTTTTAATAGGCCATTTCCGAGTCACCTTGTGCCTCTGTTTGAAAACGAGTCCTAGAGCAAAACCTTTCATTTGAAATGAGTGATTTGCATTTTAATAAATCTGTCAGGGGGAAACATTTTCATGTAACCAATGGTTTCGCACGAAGTGTCGTTTTAACACAGAGGCAAAAGGCAAATCGGAAATGGCCTATTAAAAACTGAAGCTTTTCGAGTGTTCTTCCAACACCACAAACTGTTTGTTGTGTTGGTTAACTATAATATATTGTAAAATGTATGCGTCGCTGAAATGGCTTATTGCCTGCCTTTGGCTCGCGATTCACGAACTATTCTTGTGTTTGCCCAACTTCGCGGGAAGTTTATATTATGAAGTCATTTGTTATATCGCTTTTATAGCTTGATAATTCTCTTGTAATGAAGATTTCTAAAAAATCAAATTTTTTATAGTGAATATGTTCAATAAAATATATCAAAAACTGGATCATTGGATAATGCAATTCAAGAGTTTTAATTGGCTTAGCCATCATGGTATACAGGGGCGTACCGAGGTTTTTGAATAGTTGCAGGCCTGTTTTTAATGTGAAAGTCGTTATCACGCCGAAGGCGTGTATCGAGCGCCTTCTAGTGGGGTACGGGGGCATGTTGCCCCGGGAAATGTTTTTAACTGAAACTTCTAAAACGCCGTTTCATTCATGCATTCCTCAGACTCGAAAAATGTTTGTGAAGGCAAGATATATACCCTGAATTTTACCGTAATCAGAGAGAACTAGATAACCAAAATTGTCATAATCCAGTATTCACTAAACGAGAAATGGCTATTTTGTTTGTCGTGAAGTGTAAATTGACCGTGTTATTTGCCACGAATGAGTGTGATTTGACTCCCCTTTACCACGCCCACAAGTTTGGGAAACAAAAAAAAAAACTATTCCTAGAAGGGTTGCAAACCCCAATCCTACCCCTGGATCCACCTGTGGCCGCTTTTAGATATATTAATAGAACCACTGGTGCCTCTAATCATTATACATTTGCCGCTCGACTGTCGCCGTTTTGCTAAGGTCAGATCGGGAGTACGAAAGGTTAAAATGGCAAACTTTTTCTCTTGCCATTTGAGAGAGTAGAACTACCTGGTAGCCTAGAAGAGGATCTCCATCCTCCTGCTTCCACAGGCTGCGAAATCGTCAAGGATATCTCAGCATTCAAAGAAACATCATGCTTATGAATATGCATTAGTGCAAGTCCATTAAGACGATCCTCTTTCATTGTTTGTGAAGAATTTTCAGGAAATTGGTTATCCCTTACAACAGCACAATAATATGTAGAGCGGGTAGGCTGAAAACTTGTAGCCCCAGGCCTACGGACCTATAGGCTCGCTACGTCCCTGGTATAGGTATATGAACAACAACTCTATGCTCTAAATATGTATAAACAATAGTCTTCATTTGAGGCGAAAATATGCTAGGATATTTGTCCGTGGACATTATCTGTTCCGAGATGCGAACAGGAATATTCTCGGATGTTCCCCAGTTTTAGCTGGAGAATATTCGGTCACGTGACGTATTTAGACCAATCGTGCGCCAGCGAAAATTTTTGATGGATTATAAGTAAGAATACGCCTAATTTCTTTGGGACAATTATTCTTGGAAAAACTGCGATGGACTAACCTAGAGTAAGCTAACCCGAATTACCAGAATTATAAGCTTGGCTGTTTTGAAATAGGAAAAACTCCTAATCTGGAAGCGGGTAAAAGCCACGGGTGCCTTCGATTATGTCAAAGGACCCCAAAGATTCCGGAACTTTTGGTCGGAAGTCAAATGGAAAGGTCCGTTGCACTTCCGCCCGACTGGAATATTCGGGATCACCTCTGGACGTGGTCCCGATATTCCTATCGAAATTATTTGCCGTTCCATTTCAACAAACCGGTTCATTGCCCTTGGGAAAGGAATAAAAAATCGTAAGAGCCATTCCCCTTAGTTGGCCCGCTTTGATCGAAAAATGTCGTTCCATTTTCCTCAGGTATTCCCACTGGTCGCTGACTGGCCATAGTCGGTTTGGCATAATAGAAAGCACCCCACATCTTTGATATTCCAGCGGAAGTCTACCCTGGGAACGAGGTTGCCACTCGTCACGTGATCAGGCCGTGCAGACTGAAAGCGCGCGAAAATTTGCCGGTAGACGCGGCTGCCACTCATCACACATGCTCCCCAAAGACACAAGTGTGAAACATGTGCACAAGTTTTTAGAGGCTGGCAATTTTTTACACTAAACCGTACACGAAATTCTGTGCTGTTGCTCAGATATAAGGGTACTAATAGTTGTCAACATTGAGGTAATGGAGCTGCACCCCAGAATAGACGGAGGAGAAGTTATATTTCGCAAGAAGATCCACTTGTCAAGGTTTCGTTTCCAAAACGGTAAGCTTGTTTGAAAACCTAAGCCTATTCGCCCACACTTTATGTAGAAATTTAAAATATCAATGGCTCCTTCTTCTATGAAAAGGGAGTTTACTTTAATTGAATCTATTATTCAGTGGCAATATCGAGTGGCTTAACCTTTACTTGCTTAATTCTTCTGAACAACATCTAATGGCGGACACGCAAGAAATAACATGCTTGAAAAATACCCGACAATTTTTGCCTTTAAACCTGTGGTTTAATACAAATTGTGAAAGAAAATATGCATATCTTGATGTAAGGCCAAACTCGTTTTCATACGCAAGGTTCAGTTTGCAAGCCTCAAGTCTGGTCGCAAGAGTCATCTGAAATTCAGGCTACATATATCTTATGGTTTTGGTAGCAGTTCGTAAAATAACTCTGACAGATTGAGACAGGTCAGAACTATGGTGTTGTTCATGAAAATGGCTAATGTAGGCCTTGTGATACTTTAGACTGGGCCCAGAAGTTTTCCAATTTTAGTATCAATTTCAGGCAAGATGTGCAATGTGAGTAACATGGCCTTGAGAAATGCAATCTTGCCATGCCTGAACACTACCAGTCAGGTGCCTCCCCATTTCTGGGTGCCTCTTAGGCTTAATGTCTGCTGCTGTCAAGTTCAGTCTTCATTCCACCCCAGGAAAAAGTATCTTGAGAGCAAGCATTGGCCTATATTCCTGAAAAACAGGTAATAATCAAGCCTATCATCAATATTTGCTGACCACCCCCCCCCCTCTCCCCCTTATGCCCAGTGCCTCAAAGATTCCCTGGCTACTTGTGAGTGAGTGTTAACTAATCTGCTACCAATATTATTGTTTTCTTTAAAAAAAAAGATGCCCTTCTTGCAAGGATTCTTCATGTGTATTCAACTGACCTCCGAGTCTCCTTAGAATAGGGAAACGTTGAAATAATTACCTATTAAAGGAGCCATTTATCTGGGGACTCAAAAATATCCCCACATCTCCTGGTGTAATTGCAATTTTATGGATTAGTGACTTTCTTACTTGTGCAACTTGATCATTCTGAGTGTAATAATATTCAAGTTCATCATAATCTGAATTTCAGTGACTCCATGTCGTGCATTGTGCATCACAACAGTTTTGGTTGCTGGTGACCTTAAAGGGAAGGATTTCATGGATTTGCGCATGTCTGTATTATTTATTCGCCTGTGCACACTTTTTGGCACAGGCCCAGTTTTGCATTGTTTATTAACCAATCAGAAGCAAGTCACCTAATTTTGCATGTAAATAGCTGTAAAATCATCAACCGTAGAATAAATCATACAGGTCAAAACTAAATTCATCGGTTGACAGTGTTGGTAAGATCTAATGAAATCTTCTGAGAATTTTGGTCATCCATCATTCTACCACAACAAACTATAGCGTGTGATTACTGAACTACATCTGAGTGGGGTTTTTGAAGTGATAACATTGATAAGAAGCGAACAAAAGTATTTTGATTTTGAGACATGCGCTGAACTGTGAAAACTGCCCTTTAAGTCCATTGCTTATTTCATTCGTGAAAAATAATGTCATCTAATATTTTGAGGCATACTTATAAATAAATTGTGGCTGGTGTAAAGGGATCAAAGATGTGTATGGCACAATACACTGTCTTGGAATTGCTCACTAATATAAGAAGACAGAACCTTCACCATTATTGTAGTAGGTGATATGGGTATAAGCAGACAACTGCAGACACAAATTTGTTTTCCTTTAATTTCACATCAGTAACAGCTTGTACATGTAAGATTACACAGTTGTAACAATTGTTTCCCAAGGAATTGCCCTTTTAAGAAAATAATTTACAATTGTGTCTGTACTGGAATCTTGATATGTACTCTACATCTCCAAAAACAATCTGTGCAAAACTGTAAAATAATTAAGCATTTAGGTGCACCAAAGCAACAGACTGAGCTCAAAGAAATGAAGTAGTTAAACTCTCGAATGGAAACTTGAATTTATTGTCAGTAGCATTAAATGTATTTGGCATTTCTGCATAGTTGGGTACTCAAAACACTATAACAGTTCTTAAATTAAGTCAGGCCACTTTCCTTTCTCTTAGCTCTATCCACCAAGTATTAAACGGTCTAAGTAGGCAGTAAAACAATAGTTAATTAATTTTGAATCTCCCACTGAAGCCAACATAAAACAGTACCAAAATCTCCAAGATCTGTAAAATATGGCCATTATCCTGGATAGAAACCAAAACATATGCAGTGCAAGGTAACCCCAACAAAAGAACAAAAGCTCAAAAAAAAAAGAAAAAAATTCTACAAAGCCCTGTCAATGTATTATTTCCAATTTTGCTTTTTTTGTAGAGGTCTCTGGGTCAATTGTCCATTGAACACTAGAATTCCAGGCAAAGAGAGGGAATGAAGCAATTAAGACATAAATGGATAGATATTTCACTTCAGTTCAGAGTTGTAGAATGAATGCTTGTGCAGACTGTTGCAGTTTCCTTGCAGCTAGTGTTTCAACACCTACTCTTGCTTTATCCTTGAATACAAAAAACAATAAATAAAAACAAACAGCCACGGACAGAATTATCATGCCACAATCCAATGCAAAATATAAAAAAAGCTTGTAAACTGTTTAGTGCAAATCAGGTACAAAACTATTAGCATTCTGAAATTTTTAAGTGTGCCTGCCACTTGCTAATAATATTCTACAAAAAATGAAAACCATGAAGAGATGTCTTGTAAAGCATTTTTGTAATATATTACTGGAATTATCTTATGAAGACTACAAAATATCTGAACCATACAAATGTCCTGTAGGAAAACTATTATCAGTAAAAAAAGCATCCCTTTTACAAAAGATAGCCCTATTTATAAAATCTCTACAACTACATGTAAGCCCAAAGTCAGCTGCTCTCAGCAGTTAGAAGTACGGTATTATGACATTTCATCATTACAATCTCCACACATCTTCGTCAAACTACAAAATTTATCAAGACTAGTATTAAAACAAGAACTCTCTCTGGACTATTTACAGACCTGTTATACTACAAAACAATTCTATTTCTATTTGTCTATAATTTACCTACTGTATATTATTTTTCTCCTCTACAATTATATAATATTACTATCAAAATTAGCGATGAAATATATCTTGCATTGCCACGTTTAATTCATTTTCAAGTTTCAAAATTTAGGGAATTATAATCTAGAAGGTGAACTGATATAAAAGGTAATACATGTGGAAAAAATAAAGTGATACAAAGACTGACTAGACCATTTTGTTTCTGCACATGAGCGGTATTATTGTAGTTATACCAGCACTAGTAAGGCCATTTGCAACAATAGGTTGTTCATAATGACCACTCCTTAAAAACAGATGTACAAGTTGCAACAAGTCAAACTGGATATCTATCTCAGCAAAGTTCTTTCACATTTGCCACAGTAACAGGCAAAGTTGCTGCCAATTTATCATATCCATAAGTTTGCCTGAAATAATGAGGATTTTTGAGTAATTTATGCCCATGAGGAGAAAAAAAAAATCATAAACATAGGATTGATCTATTCCTATGTAATAATTTTTATTCTCCTCTATACCCAAGCAGTAAACTGTTCCCCCTGCCCCGTGACAAAGGAGGAGCGATAATGGTAGAGGTCCACTTTGTGACCTATTGCTGCAAAGGCCATTTTTGTCCACTAACATCTCCCATCCTGTATAAAATGATGAACCAGTACTGGTATACATTATTCCTAAAGATTTTGAGAAGGATGCATGAACCTTTCTTCATCAAGCTTTGAATTGACCAGAAAACCCTCAAAGCTAGGAAAACATTAACTGTACATAAGGAGCTAGGAAATCATTACATGTACCTTTAAACAAAACTAATAGCCTTGGAAAGTGCATTTCCACATTATGACAAGCTTTACTGAAATACAGACCATGTTCATTATAAATTACTGCTCTTCACTCTTCACAAGCTAGGGAACCAAAATAGTAACGATTATGTGAAAATAAAATGTATGTAATAGAAGGCTATATCACAAAGAAATTTAAATTTTGAACAATTGGCAAGCCCAGATATTACTTAAATTTGGTTTGTAAATACAATCTGCTTAACTGTAAATTTATGGAAAGGGTTGGTTTGGGGTGTGTATGAAAAAAAAATGTTCTCCAAGTAAATCATACAATGCCATGGAATGTTGGTAAAACTGAATTAGTGTGTCCATAAATTACTATCAAAGAAGTTTTCCTTGAGTGCTGATCTTGTTCAACACTTAAAAGGATGTTAACACTCCCCATGTGAATAAGGACCTAGTTCGCAAGTTTCCAAGTCACTGGGTCACCTCATTTATGGCTAACACTTTTTGTTGACAACATTTCTTCTAAGAGGTGTATAAAGAGGGCTATTCATACTTTGTCACATAATCATGGCAATAAAATTATTTTCCTTTTCATTTACACTGCAACTAAAACTGAAATTTACCTGCACACTATACCACCATTAGCAAGAATACAATGGAGTTTGTCTTTTCCAGACCAAACCAACTTATTTTTGACAAACGATGTCCTGTTCGCTAACATGACATTTCTCTGGTGAACACTTGATCAACCAATAACAGTAAAACCAGCCATTATATGAGTATCATTATGGTCCATAGAAAGCCATGAATGCAGTTTAAGAGTACAATAAATTACACCAAAAAACACTTAAAATGTATATGCTGACTTTCACTGAATTTCAAAAAAAAAAAAGGAAAATTCACTCATCCAGTCATCCACAAAATGGTTCACAATTTTTACAAACAGCATTTATACAGATAATTTGTACTCTCTCTGCCGACAAACACCAAGCTTTTACACCTATGACAAGATTTGAATAATACTGTGACTGTGTTAGCATTTAGAAACTTAACTTGAACTATTCTATTAATTATGTGTTTACGCATGGAAATATTCTAAATATTGCGAATGTACTTAATTTCACTTTCCAAAATACTCTACTAATGCATTTTATAAATATGGTATTGTGTACAATTATTGTTCTAAAAAGCCTCTAAATTCTTTGGTTTGTACATGAATGCTTCTAATATTTTATGCAGAAATCTTTACAGAAGAACAATAACTTAAAATATGACAACCAAACTTTTTTGGATCCAACTGAGCCATTCTTTTTCAGTGCTCAGTGTTTTTTGCTAGTGGTCTTAGTCAGTATTCAGTATGGTAAACTTTGACATACCAAGTAACAGGTATGCTTTTTCCTACACCATAATGTACAACTTTTTATGTTCATTTATGACTTGCGAGGTGTGGATTTGCCAGCTTGTGGTTGGCTATTTTAATTTGCTTGTCACCAAGCTGTGTGGTGTATAGGTGGCAAGTTGTTCAGGATGATATCCGAGCAGACATAACATCCATTGACTCTGCTGTGCTGTTCACTGGGTAGAAATTCCTCTCTAGAGTTGGAGAAACATAAAAAATCATGGGATTTGATCCTTGAAACAAAATTTGGAACACTGTTTACAATACATGCAGTCAGGAGAACTGAAAGGACTACAAGTACACGGTAACTTGTTTTCTAATTTTGTACTTGTCACACAAGTTATTGGTTGATCACTTTGGAAAGTGAAGCTTTAGGACTGAACTTGGCATTCCAAGTAACACATAAATTAAGAAGGCAGATGGTAATGTACCTGACACCAACCTTCCAGCATGCCCTCATCAGGATTCATGCTCCCAAACCCTGACACCATCTGGTAGTCTGTAGACTCTTCTTCGGACACAGCATTTCCACTGCTGGAGACAGGAGCAACAGGAATGGGTGTAGGCCAGCGAGGAGGTATGTTACCCCTAGGAGTGTTGCCTGGTGAGGTGAACAAGCCCATTGGAAGTGAAGGGCTGACACCAGATAGACAACCAGGTGGCAAGTTTGGGTAGCTGAACACCTGTGGATTTTGGTTACCATATGTTGATGCTGCACTGTTAGGATTGTTTGTTGGAGACTGGAGAATAAAACCACAAAAGGAATAAACAGTCATAAAATGAACATAATTGTAATTTACTTTTTCCAGGAGGGCAGGGTAACAAATCCTGTAATGTAATTGGTTCCTAATGTAGTTTGGGTTTTCCTATCTCTGCCCATGGTCACAGTAACACATGCACAATGTGTGTGTGGGAAAGGTTAACAATTAAAAAATTGGTTTGAGAGAGGGAGAGAGTAAAAAATAAGTTATTTACTGCTTAGGGTCTGTCGATATAGAGAAAAACTGTGACCTTGGACTTGAAAATGAAAATTTTCAAGACCTCTGCCACAGTTTCTCCCTATACAGACCTTCCAGCAGGCAAATAACATATATTTTCTTTCCCCAGACGTATCAAAAAGAAGAAGAAGAAGAAAAAAAGAACTAAATCAGGGCTCAAAAAAA